AGTTTACACATTAACAAGTATCGAAATTACCTAGATAATAAACGAAATACAAGTGGGACTGGTCCTTCGAAAAAACCTTCCTGCTTTGATGAAATTGATAAGGTTTTTAGTGATAAACCAACTATATTACCAACATTTTTGAAAAGTTCTTTAGGAACGTATGTTTTATGTAAAGAAACTGCAGATTTGAATAGTTTAAATAATTGTGTTAATGAGTTAAAAAACTGTGAAAATATTGATATTGAAGTTGTTCCATCAAGTTCTAAATCAGAAGAGTTGTTAAAAAAAGATAAAAGTTTTTACTTTAAAAAATCCAAAAAGAAAAAATCAAGAAGTGATGTAATGTTTGAGAAAATAAATGCCACTGTTAACACATTTATGACCTCACAGGCTGATATTTATCGAAAAATTTTTGATTGCTTTTTAGAAAAGCACAAAGAACAAGAACCATATGTTATATTAAAAGTTCGCCAAGCTGGAGATATATATTTCATTGAAATAGAATTTTTGTTGACAAATTTGACTCTAGAAAAACTTACAAGCACAATAAAAGAGGAACTTACAATTGAAAATAATGCCACTTTGTTGATTACCAAGTTACCAAATGTACTTATCCAAAATGATAAGGATGTTAAACGTCTCAAAAGTGGGGCTGAAATTGAATTTTTGATTGTAATGAAAAAAAACTAAAACTATTTTTTTGTAATGTTATGTTATTTTTCAAGATAAAAAATATAAATTTTTAAATATTGCTTTCAAAGTTCATTTACACCTAATTACTTGTAGAGTAATGTTTTTTTATAGCACTCCTTATAAACTCTGCTTTATTGTCAATTTCAATGCAACTGTGGTTTAATAGAGGGTTTACTAAGTCAATTTCTGTTTGTTTAATCCATTCATTTAAAAAATTTTGTTTTGTCAAAGTACAGAAATTATGTAGAATACAACATGTTGTAACAATAATGGCTGTGTGTTTAACTGTTGTATCTAACCTTTTAAAAAGACATTGAAATCAATCTTTCAATCTTCCAAGTGCATTCTCTATCACAACTCTACACTTACTCAGTGAAGCGTTAAACTTGGCTTCTTCTATACTTAAATTTTCACGATCTGAGTAGGGTTTCATAAGCCAATTTTCAAGGGAATAAGCTGAATCACCGAGAATAAGAGGACCAATTTCTATATTAGCAATTATTTTGTTTAAGTTATTTGGTAAAAAGGTTCTGGCTAGACACTCTTTATATAAAGGAGAATTTTTAAAAACTCTTGAATCGTGAAATTTGCCAGTCCACCCAACAAAAATATCTCTGAATAAGCACTTGCTATCTGCCATCCCCTGTAATATAATGGAGTGATAATCTTTTCTGTTTATATAATCCTCTGAATTTTTATTAGAAGCCTTCATTCTAATGTGAATCCCATCAACTGCTCCAACTACTTTTGGAAAACCATATAGTTTTTCAAAACTAGCCATTATCTCTATTGTCTCTTACCTTGAGGGTAAGAAAATGTATTTTTTCAGTAAATTATCAACTAAAAGTTTACAAACTTTATGAACTATTGTACAAACAGTAGATTTTCTTAAGCTAAACAGGTTGCCTATTGTCCGGTAATCTGCAGATCCACTTAAAAATAAAGTGTGACAGCTAACTTTTTTTCTATAGGCAAAGATTTCCGAAAATTAGATTTTTGTATAGGCATAAAAATTGAAACTTCCTTGCATAGATAGTTAAAGCCTGCTTTTGAAATTCTTATGTTTTGAATCCAATCGTCGTCGTTCCAACAGAACAACATAGTTTTGTACCAAAAGTACTGACTGCGAGTATATATATATATGTATATATATATATATATACAGGCCTTGTGATGAATAAAAACTGCGCAACGCATATGCACGACGTGATTTTTGACGTCATTAAATTCTTTTTATTTGCTTTTTATATTTATCGACATTAACGGCACCAACTTACTTGATTACCGCAAATCTACTTTAAATCATTAATGTAGAAATGTTATTATTTTAAAATGTTTTGGAATGTTTTGTTTTTTAAAATGTAAAAACATTTGCTTATTTTCACGACGTTTGACAGGTTTTGTCTACACTAAACGAATAAAAAACATAAGCTTTTTAAATAATTATTTTTTCTTTTTAAAAAGTCAAGAGTAATAAACTGGAAACTTTAATACTGAACGATTAAAAACTGTGCAATAGCTAATATTTTTACTAGCGATTTTATATAACATTTTTTTATTTATTTATTTTTATTTATTTTCATAAAGCGGTTAATAAGCACAATCACTCGTATTATTACCGGTTTTAACATCCATTTAAAACAATTATGACAACCATTTAAAACAACCATGACATTTATTTAAAACACTGCCGCAATCAATTAAAACAATGTGATGTTCAATTCAAACAATCGTGACTTTCAATTAAAACACTTAACGCATGCGCAACCTCAACGTTTTAATTTGCTTTTAAAAAAAGGTTTCATTTATATACTTATTTATTTAAATTTATTTTTTATTAATATCATGTTAATTTATTTTAATTTGATTTATTTATTTTAGTATTAAATGGATGCCATACTTGTTTTAAATGGATGAAAAGCCCGGAAAGGCGTACACACATGTATACATATTTATTAAGCTTCAATTATTCCATGTCGTTTAGGTACACATTTTTACATGGCCTTATTTTATTGGTAAAACAACCATAACGTTCATTTAAAACATCCATGATAATCAACACCTTTTTTTTATATAATATTTATTTTGTCTGAGTCAAAACGTAACTGCGCATTTAGGTACTTTGGGTAAGGCGTTCTCTTCATACTCGAAAGGCCATGGTTCGAATATCCGTTTGGACAATTTTACTTCTTTTTCTTTAATATCTCGTTGCTCGTATGTTTTGCTGTGACGCCATTCCTCTATATAGAATAGATATCTCTCAACATCAAACCTCTTAGTGTATTTTCTAAGTAAGGCGTACACACGTTTACCGGGTTTTGCATCCATTTAAATATGTCATCCGTTTAATATTAAAATAAATTGCATTAAATTAAAATAAATTAATATGATATCAATAAAAAATAAATTTAAATAAATAAGTATATAAATAAAGCCTTTTTTAAAAAATAATATAAAATGTTAAGATTGTGCATGCGTTAATGTTAGAATAAAAATCTTTTAGGTATAAAAGAAATATTTCAGCGAAAAAATTACTCTTAAAAATTAATCTTAAAAATTATTCTTAAAAATTATTCGAAAAACTATTGACGTTCTATTTTTCACCAACTGTTCTTAAGCACGCTTTGTTGAGTTTTGGTAACTTTTAACAAAAAAGCGATTGTTATTATTTAAGTAATTTTTTTCGAGTTACTTTTTACAAAAATTTTAATAATTGCACTTTTTTATTAAATCATGTAGAATACGTTTTAATATTGATCCTTATTTTTTTTTTATTTGCGCTTACCAATTTTTAAAATGTTTTCTCGAAATTACTCTTAGATACTTTAAATTTGTCTAACAGTTAATATATATTTTTAAATCTATGGAATAATTTTAAAACCTAACAAACCCCGTAAAATAATTATTTTAGTTAAAAATCTAAAACTAAAAAAAAGTATTTTTGTTTAATTTTAACTTTGCTATTGCTGATTAATTTTATTAAAATGCTAGCTTAAAAAGATTTAAACTTTTTTTTTAATCGGAATTTTTTCTACTTGTAAATAATGAGCATATTTAATTTTTTTGTAATTCAAACTTTTATATCAACTGCGTGCGATTTTTAAAATATTTTATTAAATGTTAAAATAATCGTAAATTACTTCATTAAAAATCCGCTCAAAAATATACTCAAAAAAAACTTTTTTCGCTCGACGCAAATAGCCCTAGCTACACGCAAAATCTTTGTTAAAAGTAACTCGAAAAAAATTACTTAAATAATAACAATTGCTTTTTTGTTACAAGTTACCAAAACTCAACGAAGCGTGCTTAAGAACAGCTGCAGAAAAATAGAACGTCAATAGTTTTTCGAATAATTTTTAATATTAATTTTTAAGAATAACTTTTTCGCTGATATATCTTTTATACCTATAAGATTTTCATTAAAAATCTATTCAAAACGTTCGTTAAAGTTTTTTAGTAATACGAGTGATTGTGCTTATCAACCGCTTTATGAAAATAAATAAAAATAAGTAAATAAAAAAATACTATATAAAATCGCGAGTAAAAATATTAGATATTGCACAGTTTTTATTCGTACAATATTAAAATTTCCAGTTTATTATTCGCTGACTTTTTAAAAAGAAAAAATAATTATTTGAAAAACTATAAATTACATATTTGAGAAAATCAAATATTAGCATATTTTATAATCTTTTTTAAATGTTTAGTTATGTTTTTTATTCGTTTAGTAGACAAAACGCGTCAAACGTCGAGAAAACAAACCAATGTTTTACATTTTTTATATCAAATTTATTACATTTTTTATATCAATTTTTTATATATACAACCAATGTTTTACATTTTAAAAAACGAAACATTTGAAAACATTTTCAAGTTTTGCGGTAATTAAGTAAATTGGTGCAGTTAACGTCGATAAATATGAAAAGCAAATAAAAAGAATTTAATAACGTCAAAAATCACGTCGTGCTTATGAGCCGTTATTTCTAAGAATCAGGCAAATTCCTGGAACTGTGGAAGTGACCTCGTCCAAATTGCTTGAATTTTTTATATATTGATCAGAATATAGAGAAAACCTGTTGGGGAAAAAAAAAATTTCAAAAATGTTTCGTTCACTCGGAATCTGAGCTTAAATTTTTGAGATTTTTTTAAAAATTTTTAGAAATTTAGTTTTTGCCACCTTTGAACCCATTTTTTTTGGCAAGGCAAAAAGTTGCACATAGCTTTTGTAGTTAATAACAGACGTAACCCAAAAGCTCCAAAAAATATATAAAAGTTGTGTGACACTGTGCGGTTGGCTAATTATCATAGTTCAAAAGTACAAAATCAATCAGTTTTGTCAATTTTTAATCGGAGTTAATTCTAGCGGCGAAGTGTTGCACACAATTTTTCTTTTAGGATTTGAAATTATCAAAGGTATTGAGTCTAAAAATGCAAAGAAAGTTATGTGATACCTAAGGCCTAATAATATATTAAGGCTTGAAATTGGAAAAAAATGTTTTAGTATACTTACAAAATGAGCTATTACGGCAGAGGCGCTTAGTTTTGTAAAAATGTAAACATATCCAACTGTCAATACAAAAAGGTCCTAACATAATAATAAATAAAATTCGGGTGATTTTGTCACACGCATGATATAACATTAATTAAAAACTGAACAAAAATCTAACATCAAGATAACTATATTGCTAATTAAATAAAACATAAATCAAACATTTAAATGTTTTTCCATTTAAAAATTAGTTTTTCATTTATTAATAGAGTCATTTACACACATTATCCACTACATCACACATAGTTTCTACTCTTCTGCAGTAAGTTTCTCTAAGGACTGTATTATAGTCTTCTTCGAATAATGAATAATCGCCAAAAACCACTGATTAGAAAAGGAGCATTTACTAAACAGATAATTTTATCAGTTTGGTTATTTATCTCCTTGGTAGTAACTGGCCAGCGAAAAGTATTCTTCTCTTGCCCGTTAATCATACAATTAACTCTGATCACAGTTATAGATACCTAAAAGTATTAGCGCAACATTTAAAATAATATAATAAAGAGTTTATGATTTGTTTAATTTTGCTTACATTCAATAAAACTTGTAAAGTCTTATATAATGTCATTCTGAAATTATTTTTACATTTTATTTAAATTCCTTTTATTTTAGAGCACTGTTTTGTAAAACAAAATAAAAATTTGAGACTAATCCTGGAGGGACCACATAGGTCTAATTGAAAATAAAATATCAAAAAATATAGGTGTTTTGTATAAAGCCAAGCAGTTTTTAAATCTATCTTGTTTAAAAAACTTATATTTTTCTTTAATTCATTGCTACTTAAATTATGCAAACGTTGCTTGGTGCAGCACAAACGCAACAAAAGTAAAAAAACTGTTTAGTAAACAAAAACAGGCTATAAGGATAATTACAAACGTAGACCGTTTCTTTCACACTAAAACATTATTTAATAAACTTAATATTCTAAATGTATATAAACTAAACCTTTACCATATTCTTATCTTCATGTTTAAACTTGAAAAAAAAATATCACCAATATTATTTAATTCACTTTTTGAAAAAATAAACCACATATACCCTACCAGATTTTCAAAAAACAATTACATTCAATCCAAAACACATTATTCAGCAACCAAATTCTCAATTGCAAATCGAGATCCTAAGCTGTAGAATACAATATTAAATAATGAGCTGAAATCTAATTATTCTTTAAACCAGTTTAAAACAAAACTTAAGCAATTACTGATGATACATGAAAATGAATTAAAGTT